AATCATAAGTTATAAAATTAAAACTTATTCATATCGCATTTTATCTTGTTTATAAACATTAACAAAATAATCTTACATAATGATTAATATTCAAGATAAAGAAGTAATATCTATATTAGAAATATATATAAATAAAATATATAGTTATTATATTAAGAGAAATTTGAATAAAAATAAAGAGCTTAGATATAATAAATATGAACTTTAGATTAATAAAAATTTAAATAATATCAGGAGAATTTTTCTCTGGATATTGCTTGATAAAGTCTTAGTTATATAATATAGCTATGCTAATTTTAACTAGCTATTTTAGTTATAATTAATTAATTTAATTAATCATATATTGTGATTTCCAATGACTAAAGATATATTTTGACATAGATATTTATAAAAGTGTCATTTTTTATATCAATCTTTTTTTAAAGGAGATTAATTGTATGATAAAAATTTTTCATCACTATTTTTCATGCAGACTTACTAGTTTATGCCTGAAATATCACTATATTTTATACTAGTTAGAGTGTTCATTTTACTTAAATGCAGAATTTGCCAGATTTTACAGAATTCATATGATTTATAATATGATTTGTGTGAATTAAGGTAAATGTGGATATTATGGTGAAGTTAACAATTTTTATTAATAAAAGTCTATGAAAAAACTTTTACTTTATAAATTTTATTCAATTTAATACAGGTCTTAGCTTGCTTTATATTGATAAAAAAACTATTATATTATATAGTTTATATTAAAAATTCTTTAAGAACTAATATAAAATCATAATAAAAACACAATAGCTATCTTTTTATCTATGCGATTTCTCTTCACATAGTGATCAGAAAATATCACCATTCGATTCGTCTAATCATACGAATCAAATGGTGGTATTTTCGTGCGTTTCTGATCGTTATGTGAATTGATCTTCAAAATTTCGATACCCAGTGATCGAAATCATAGGTGTTTGCAGATCCCGTTTTTCAGCACACCATAACGATAAATGCTTGAATCTGTTTACTTTATGAGTCAATTTGGAGCATCATATTTATTTATGGTACAATTTAGCAAATGAGGTTTTTTACTTAAATTTTCATTTTAAGTAAGTTTCCAATATAAAATTTTAGCTTTAAAGCAATATAATTTTATTTTTTATTCTGCAGTAATTAATACAAATAAATGCAAAGTGTATATTGTGAATTAACGAGCTCTATCTATAATTTCACGGGAGCTTATTTTGAAAGTAGCTTATACCTCGATTGTGTTTACGATTTTCTTCCCGCAACGGAATTTTGGGACCTCATGCGAGTTGTTCTAATATCAGTGTTTATACACATTGATGTCATGATTTCAAATATTAGAGGCGCTGAGCTAGATTTTAGCAGCGCCGAGTTTGTGCGTAGTGGTTTTTGGATGTCGCACCAGCATTATTTTAATCATTGCTCTTAATATATTTATAGAATTTTGAATTTCAAATCATTGACTTTATCTTTTGTTAAATTTGCTAAATTAATCGAGTTCATTACGGATACTAAGGATATTGTTGAGGAATCAATTTTTGTTGGAAGTTTGACGTATGTGATCTCCTTCATCTCTGACAAATAAGAAGACAACGATAGTCGTCAAAGATAACAGTTACAAAGCATGATTTAATACGTAATGTGTAAAAAGGATCGAATGCAATAATACCCAATACATTTGATAAGTTTACATACATGTTAGATATAAATCACGCAATGTTAAGAGAGATTTCAAGTTTTATAAATTGCTATCCACATGATTACTAAACACGTATTCGCTCTGAATTTTCAATCTTCACATTTTTCCAAATTAAACCAAAGAAAGTTTATATTGTAACAATAGTATAAAGTACGTAATATATTACACACAGTTTACAAATCACTATATCAATTTTTTTAAATTTAATAATCAATAAAGAAAAGTGGCCCGGTACCCCACACATCAGTAGATGGGTCATCAGGAGTTGGGACAAGTTCCACATAGGCATAGTATACACCTTGGTTGACGTGGGCTTGGAAACCAGCCCAGGTATTCCCGTAATTCTATAATTTTTATAAATTTAGTAATTTGTATTACATATGAGCAAACATATCAAAAATATCATGTATACTTACGTAACGACCAACATAAACGTATTTTAATAGGTCTGGTCCATTACCAAGTTTTCTCGCAATATAAACATCGACTTTTCGATCTTCGTTTTCATTGAAAGAATAAGTAAGAGAGATAAAAAGAACAGAAAAATGATCGAATATAAAACATACTCCATTTATCTGGAACATCATAATCAGCAGTCCAACTAACAGCTTGATATGAATCAAACTTAAATCTTCCATCGGGTCCTGTCACCTTAATTTTACCTCCGGGCGTCGGTGGATTAGTTGGAGCAGCCCAAGCGAGGGCAAAGAACAAAGCAACAATAACGAAGAAGAGTGTTTGAAATTTCGACATTATTATAATTTATTTTTTGTTGAATATAAGATTAAAAAAATTATTAGTGTTTAAGAGAACTCTTTTCAAGAGATGCTTTGAACAGAAGGAAAAGACAACCAATTTATATTAATTCAAAGGGGTTGATCAATAATACTTCGTCTCATAGCAATTCTGTAGTTCAATGGACGCGGTATGCACATCAAAGTCTTAAAAATTTCTTGGTTCGGACGAAAAAGACATATCTTTCAAAGTTCTCCTTTTTTCAATTGCATCCTGCAAGACATTCATGAATACCTTTAAGATTCTCAGAAGGGGAAAATTTAATCAAACTACATGTACATGAATACATGTATTAATAGAACGAAATTTACCCCTACCTGCACGCACTGCATAAAAATTCTTAAAATAGTATTATCATTGACTCGATAAATTAATCGAGTCACCTTGGGCGTGCATTTTAAACAGCCCGGTAAAGGAAATAGTACCGCAAGGGAAGAAATCTAATTCTTTCAAATAGATACATGTAATAAAGCAATACACAACTTGTATGTAACAGATGTACGATTTATTTTGATTTATTTATTATTCAGGACATTTATTTAGCAATATAGATTGGCGTTGCAGAATAAACTTGCATTACTTTCCCTTATTTAGAGACTAAATGATTTGTTGTGAATCTGTCAATACCTGTCCTCTTCAACAAATCTTTCACAGTACCAGCCTTTTTTTTCTTCATCTCAATCTTATATCATCATGGTTATTAAAAAACTGAATGTCTATATCTTTATCCATAATGAAATAATCCTTTTATTGAATATTATAATCAATTTATTTATCTTATCCAACAAATTGAAATAAACTATATAGTCTCAAATTATATTTTGATAAAATTGCTTTCTTAATACAATAAACATCTTCACAAACTTTCTCTAGTATATTACAACTTTTAGTATATCGGTATTGTAATGTATAAGTTAATGAAATAAATTCTAATAAGATAGATATGAACTGGATAACTTTTATGGTTTCGTCAGGAAAGAAAAAACTCTGTGAATACTCGTTACCTCAAATCACTGGACTGGTTTACATATCTAGTTCATACAAAGCTTAATGTTACATTTTTAGACATTCTAATTAACAAAATTATTGTTTTATTGTCAAAATGCACTTTCACATTTTCTAAGTTATAACTCCATCGTAGCTTTGTAACACATTTTTTGTATTTCTCCTAAGCTATCAAATAATTATGTATGCCTCTTGATATAAAATGTTTGAACCTCTCGAATATATTTATAATATTCTTTCCTCAAACCTTGCTCTTGATAACGAAACTACCGGTATTTATTTCAGTGATTGCAAATGACCAGAGCATTTGCTCATTTTGCAAATAACCTCGAAATGATCAGTCATTATTGGACATTTGAATTTCGAGTCATTTGCAAATGATTCGAGACCAAATGGCTCAGATCATTTACAAATGACCCTGGATATGCATAGTCAATTAGTCTATATGACAACGACCAAATTTCTACATGTAGTACATGTATGAAGCAGAACGACGTGACACTTACGCCCCATAAAATTAACAAAATTTAAATTACTACTACTTATTTTATCGTAAAATGAAAAGTTAGTCAAGCTAACAAAGTTACATTCTTAGATTTTTGATAAATTGAGTTTTAAAAAGTAATAGCAATCAAAGTTGAATTAATTATTAATAAAAATAAAGTAAAACTAGAAAAATTATACAAAAGCTTAAGCAAGACTTAAAGTAAAAAAAAACAAAAAAAAACTTGAAGAAAAAAATATTATTAAATAATATAATAAATATGGATAATTATTAATAGTAATTTCATATCTGGATCTATAAGATAATATTTATAATTATATTAAGTTTGAAACTGTTTATATAAAAAAGAAAAAAGATAATAATTAAAATTTATATGATAAAATATCTATATAAAGCATTAGAAAAAAATATAATATTTATCTTTTATATTAGTATTTATCTATATATTTAAAATTATAACATAAATATCTTTTATTACTTATTATCATTATTATTCTATAAAAATTAGTCTTATATTAGTAATAAAAACTAATATAAAATAATATACAGTAATAATCAAAAGAATAACTCAGGGGCTAAATTTACTAATAAAATATAGTGAAATTAAAATTTTTTCTCTATATTAAAATTTATAATTTTAATAAAAAATAATTTTTATTTTTATATTAAAATAAAGTTTATCAGTTATAGT